ACAGCTCAGCCATTCAGGGCTGCACAAATTGGATACAGAAGTACACAATGATCACACTGTTCACAGCTTCAGTCTCCATTATGCCTTTGTTAAACCTTGCTAAAATCTCTTTGCCGGATAGATCCACACTCATACCACAGGATTTAATCTGCAGTTACTGCTTCAGGACACCCAGAAAAAGGGTCTTCTACCCTTTTATTGCTACATAATATTTACGCCCTTGGGTGGCTAGTGATAGCGCTACCATGCTCCAACTATCACAGTGAAGAAATTGTGCATATATTTGCATGGACATCAAAAGGGCACAGTATGGAGAAGAAAACCAGTGAAGTAGATGGATAGAGGAGAAATGCAAAAAATAACTGAGGCAAATCAGTGAAAACCAAACAAACCAGAGCCATCCCAGAATGGTCTGGGTTGGAAGGGACCTTAAAGATCATCTAGTTCCAACCCCAGGCTGGTAGCCTTACTAGAAGGAAGAACTACAAAAATAGAACGTATACTTTTTACCAAATGCCTGTTTGCTTTAAGGCACCAATGAAAAGTATGGGAAGTCTGAACAACCTGATACAGTGGATGATGGATCTGTGTTGGTTTTAATTCAAGCAGTACACAACTTTTCACAGAGAAACCTTTATCTGGGCATGGGAACCCCAGCTTCTTCAGGCAAAACAAAAACAACATGTACTTGTTAAAATGCAAACATATGTTAACTTCAGATTCAGATAAATATGTCTGTAAGTTTTAAGCAATTATGAAAATGAAGGTTCGTGAATGTGATATTTTAGTGATACAGGGCTATACTTCCAGCAAACAAAAAAAAAAATCTAAATGCAGAGTTCAGTCTTTTTGCAGCATAGAATCACAGAATCATAGAACAGCTATGGTTGGAAAGGACCTTAAGATCATCAGTTCAAACCCCCCTGCCATGGGCAGGGACACCTCACACTAAACCATGTCACCCAAGGCTCTGTCCAACTTGGCCTTGAACACTGCCAGGGATGGAGCATTCACAACTTCCTTGGGCAACCCATTCCAGTGCCTCACCACCCTAACAGTAAAGAACTTCTTCCTTATATCCAGTCTAAACTCCCCCTGTTTAAGTTTTAGTATCTCATACATTAAAAATTGCTTTTTCACTCTTATTAAATAACCCACTTCCTGAGGGAATCGGTCCTTCCAGGTACTTTACTGACCAACCTGTATGATTTTACGGAAGCTAGTAAAGATGAGTTCAGAGTTTTCATTGCAACAGCTGAAGTGAGTTAACATCAACTGCGTATTTAAGGACCTGCGCCAACAAATCCATAGGAATGAGTTGGCTTGCAGTGTTTGTAAGTGTACTTTAAAGGTCTCTGGGTACATTTAAGAAAAAAGTTCTCAGCAAACTGACTTCCAATGAGAAATAGGCACTTTTATTAAGGTTTAGATTCCTGAGATCACAGATACCCACCAATGTCCTCTGGACATTTTTGTAAATGGTAGCGTCTCATGAAATATTTGAAACAGGTGAGGAAAACTACAAAAAAGATGGGTAAATGCTGAATGTCTTTCGGGTAATGATATTTTCCATTGACCTCAGTGGACTCAGTTCCATTCATCAGTACTGACCAGTCTTCAGGTTTACAAAATCCTTATAGGTAACTTGTAGCAGGCGTTCTGAATAAAACTTTCCTTTCGCTTTTCCTCACACATATTTAACAATTATTGCTTAAAAGCTCTATGGATACCCAATATATTTAAACTAAGGAAAAAAAAAACACAACAAAACAATCTAAAATCATTATTTCAAGGGTTGCTAAGGGAAAAAGTAGTTTATTGCTACAGGAAACCTATGGAAAATATATTAAGCAAGAATCACATTTCATAATGGACTATAGTCTTCAGTGGAGATAAGCAACACTGGACTTATGTCACATCTGTGAGATAAAAAACTATACTGGCAATTTTTAATACACTTCTCTGCACCAGCATGGGGGGCTATGCAAAGCTATCAGTTTACCGTCATCTCAGGCTAATAATACTTAGTTTCCAGGAAAAGTTTTCCAGTAGTCATCCCATGATTTTCAGCATATCTGCTGGTAGTTCAAAGTCTTGTCTAGTCCTTGGTGCTGACTTCCGTGCCTTCTTCAGACTGCTCAGTTACTTTGGAGCAATTTTAAACTACATGGTTCTAACTTCTCCAGGCAAAAAAATCATTGTAGTTGCTTCTGAGACACATTACCATGACAGTGAGTACAAATAGCAAGTACTACATTTTGCAAAACATTCTGTGTTAAAGTCCACACTATGAAGCCTGAGAATGCCCGAGTTATACTGCTTGTTTCCCTCTCCTAATGACCAACAAAGATTTGATAATTAACAGTCTAAGAAAGGAATGTGCAACAACCAGAATCCTATTTTTACAGATAGCACAAACTAGTAATAATCTTTCTTGACAGCACACTCTGTGTACCAAGGACTTTGCAGCAAAGTTTATGTCTAATACATATATAAAAATGAATGTTGCTCTTCCAGGAACTACAATCCACATGTTTTTCTAATTAGTCCTGACATTCTCCTCAAGTTTAGTAGCACGTAAACAGAATGTTCCTTAAGGAATATGACACATTCTGCTGAATCCCAGTTTTCCAGTTAAGAACACAGCTCCAAAATGGACTCATGGATATCACAACACAATTTTGAAAACAGGTTTTTATAAGCTTATGCAAGAAATAACAAAAAGTAGAAAAAATCTGTCTTCCAAAGCATGACTTTGAATACATTATTGGTGCATATGTATATTTAATGTGGTAAAGCAATTTGTCTTTCAAGTTAGCATTTACCCCTTCAGAATCTGAGTGACAGAATCATAATTATACAAAGCAAAATTATGATCAACTTGGCGAATTAAAGCTATGAAGACAAAGTGTTAAGTCACATATATACTACCATGTTTAGGAAACTAATACCATGTATCTAAATAGAGAATGAGATACATCTGTTAAGGTAACAATTGGATAGGAAAGGGTCTGGCAACTGAGATGGAGCACAGTATAGCAGGGTATACTCCCTGCTACAGATGAAAGGAAAAACACTCCACTTTGGAAAACAATCAGTAAGAACTGAAAATGAGATAATTTAGTCACTATTAGTATAAAAGAAAAAGTCACTGAGGGGATGTACTAAAAACTTTCCAAAGCTTTAAACATTACAGAGAATATCATTAATTGCCACTTCTACCTTCAATACTCACACTAAACCAGTTTGATTTGCAGAAAAGACAATGCACATGAAATAATAGAAAAATCTTTCAGTAAGGACATGGGTAAGGCAATACTGCAAATAGAGCTCCAGCAGTACCTTAGAACAGTTTAGGAGGGAAGCAACCTTAAAGCTTATCCACTTCCAACCCCCTGACACAAGCAGGGATACCTTCTACTAGAGCAGGTTGCTCCCGTCCAACCTGGCCTTGAACACTGGCCAGGGAAGGGGCAGCCACAGCTTCTCAACCAGACTGACACCTAAACAGATCTCCAATTAGCAACAGCTGACACATCAGAGCAATCCTGCAAAACACACAAGATATTATGAGACCTTTAAAACCACAGAATTAATTCATTGCAGGTCATCAGGATTTATGCTGTAAGTTCTTGCACCCATTAAATTCAATATGTGACAACCTGGGTGGTGTGCTTCACCTTTCCCTGGCACTGACCCACACTTTGGGTTGGCACTGCTCCCTAAGCCCCTCACTGTTCCTCTCATCCAACCGTTTACGTGTTGCCAAAGTCAACACAGTGCATGATACAGCCTGATGTGGCTCTCACTTGCAATTATATTTAGCTAATGATTCTGATTAACTTTTAATCATCCTCATAAGAACATTTTACATACTGGAAAACTATCACATCCCTTCTCAATCTTCTCTTCCTTTTTCCCTTAGAATAAACAAAAATAAAAATTGTTTCATTTATACCTTTTGTGTTCTTCTCTGAACTCTATTCAGTTTCTCTAAGTTCTTCTGTTAAATTCTGTTACCCTGTAATTTTAACTGAATCTTTCTCCTGAAGAATACAAAGAAATAATTATGTATCTCCTCATTAAAAGTCATATTACTACATCCCAAACTTGGAATTCACCTTTAATGGGATCATGTTGCTGACTTTTCTTCAGTTGCAAGCACACTATAACCCCCAGGAGTCTATTCAATGGCAACCATGCTTATGTTTGTCTGATTCTTGCTTTAGCTAGAGTCCTTTGCCCTTGTTTCAGCTGATCACCTCTTACTAGCTTCAGATCATTTCTCTAATTTATCAAGATCTACTACTGCTCTTTCAATACACTTGAAACTACTGCTAGCTTGCTACAGAACCACAATTTTAGCACTGATGCTCCATATTCCATCACAGAAACCATTAAGGAAAATAATAAACAAACCCAGGCCCAGCAGAGACCATGGCACACAGCTAACATATACACTTGGATAAACTACGAATACTAATAGCTATCTTCTAAGGGGCATGTTTCAAGTAGTTGCACACCTGAAGATAATCATCAGCTTTTCAGTGTGGCTTCAGACAGCTTCTCTAGATTTCAGGGTACCCTATCTCAAACATATCAAATATACCTTCTAGAAATCCAGATTACTGCTATAGTGCTGCAATGCCAGAAGGGTTCTAGGCACTTTTAAATGCATTTCTAAAAGTTGGTTGCTATAGAAAAAGGAGTCTCCACTGTTAAGAAAAAGAATAGTTTTTAAAAAAGTGGCACTGAACAAATTCCTCAAGGTAATGACAGTTACACTATTGAACAATTATGGGACCATTTTTGGCTTGAGACTGAGATAAAACTTGGATTTAGTATTACCTTAATATTAACTTATTTTACTGCTCAGCAACACAACCAGTGTTTGGTTTCCACAACCAGTGAAAACTGTTAACACAATCAAATGTGCATACTTTTTAGTTTCAATATACAAATACGTATTGTGAATTGTGAACATGTACCTCATGCCTCACCTGGCATGACAGCAGCTTGCTGAGTGGCTGAGTCTGTACTTAAGGAAAGGCGACCACCTTTGGCCAATCTATCACAGAAGAGGGTGATGTTCTTCTTCAGTCTGCTGGTATCTTTGGGCATGCACAACTGGCTGCTGAGAGACAGAGCCTGCTCCTTAGAGCTCTTTGACAAACAAGTTCGTAACAAGTAAGAAATGGCAGCATCCACAGTTTCTTCCCAACCCTGGGTTAAAGAAAAGGAAGATTAGGTGACTATAATATGATATAGCATTATTAAAAAATAAAGTAACAAATCAAGGACTAAAAATTTGAAAATGATAGCAATACATTAAATATAATTTAATGTTTAGCAAGTGTCAAGAAATCCCAGTTCTTCAGCTTGTACAAGAAAAAACTGAAATACTTCCCATTCCAGATTTAAGATTGACAAAGAAATATCATTTATATGGATAGTATGTGACATAACAGTTAAATTCAATAGTTGTACTAATAACAAAACCAGAAGTTCCTAGATGCAACATTTAGAATTAAGAGCAGAACTGAGATGTAAATACAGATATAATATGTGGTATATAACATTACGCTGATCATATGTCAAAGCCAGGGAAAAAAAGTCAAAAACATATTATAAATTCTTTGGAATCACTGTCTAAGATTCTGACAATATGCCAATGGTAGAGAACATCATGACTGCAACCAAAAGCTGCAGATACTCAGCATCCATTTATCAGATTAATTAACTTTTAATTATGATACCCACAGCATTAGCAGAGATGTGTCAGTGCTCTGATAAGCTGCTACTTAGATTTCTGAGAGCATCACGTCAAGCTGTAAACATTTATAAGACACCAGTTTAATAATTAGTTAAGTCAGAACATGCAGCTACCTAAGGAAAAGCTTTCAGGAGGAAAAGCTATATTCAGTGTCACATTCAATATACATATTGCCACAAAATTCTTTACTCCTGCAAATAACACTCAGTAAAGACAAGAAAGTTTCTTTCCCTGAGGCAGCTTGACAAACACCTTTAAAATGGTTCAAGTTTGTAATCTCTACTATGGTTTTCAGTGACATGAACAAATCAAAGATGTTTCTTCAAGTAAGAATCCTGGATAGCAAAAGTATTTACCTTTTGTGCAAGGTTATTAGGTTAATATGTAAAATCTAATACATGACATCTATCTCATTCTGCAGTATGCAATGCAGAACTGACTCATCTGGATGGATTCTCTAATCTTAAATTACAGTCTATGATAAGATTATGTCATTAATCCAAAATTCCTGTAATTAATGAACCTGCAAGGCACTCACAAAGCCCGATCGTGTCTTTTCATGACAATGTTATAGTGCTTGGACAGATTTAGTAACTAATACAGGGCTTTCTGGTCTGCTAACCTCAGGACTTGTAACATCTCTCAGCATTCAACTACCTGTATAAGCAAATTTTATGTGCTGCCTACATGTGGAAGTACTATTTAGTTGCTATAGTATTAGTGTAGTATCTGCTCTCTCAACACTCCTGATTGGTTGGGACTTACTTTGGCAATAGTCTTTCCTGACTGTGGAAGTATTTGAGGCTACAGTCCGGAATCCCCCCAGCTCTATCTGGTGCTAAGGTAATGGATACCAAGATAGCAATTTAGGCATTAAAAAAAAAAAAAAAAAAATAAAACTCAAGTATTCAGTTGTAATTAATACAAACCCAGAGCCTTTTTGTTTTTAAGCTCTTTCTATGACACATTCTAACACCCAGTTGAACAGCAAAATCACCTACCTATCCAAATTTTCATGACTGGGTAGGCATAGCATTTGAAACAATGATGGTGTAAACCCTGTTGGAGTCCACTGTCAAACAAATAAGGTTTATGAAGTTCTTTAACTAGGTAGCTATGGCTTTGGTGAAGGCTAGGGTACTGCTTTTGACACAAAGAAGCAAAGGCCACCCTTCCTGACCTTGCTACCTCCTAAGAAAAGGTTCAGGTATATGCTCACTAGTGGTCAAGTACATCCAAAACCACAGTCACAGGCATCTCATCTTGGTCCAAACACACTACTCTTAATAGTGTCCCGAAAATATGCTGTGTACGTGTAAAGCATTTACGTTCTGCAGAGGAACAGGACCAGCTAGTGAGGTTTTCACAGTCAACATTTACCATTCCTGACTTCAGAACAATGATATAGAATCACAGAATCATAGAATAGTTAGGGTTGGAAAGGACCTTAAGATCATCAAGTTCCAACACCCTTGCCATGGGCAGGGACACCTCACACCAAACCATGTCACCCAAGGCTCTGTCCAGCCTGGCCTTGAACACCACCAGGGATGGAGCATTCACAACTTCCCTGGGCAACCCATTCCAGTGCCTCACCACCCTAACAGTAAAGAACTTCTTCCTTATATCCAATCTAAACTTCCCCTGTTGGAGTTTTAAACCATTACCCCTTGTCCTATCACTACAGCCCCTAAGGAAGAGTTCATCCCCAGCATCCCTATAGGCCCCCTTCAGATACTGGAAGGCTGCTATGAGGTCTCCACGTAGCCTTCTCTTCTCCAGACTGAACAGCCCCAACTTTCTCAGCCTGTCTTCATACGGGAGGTGCTCCATGCCCCTGATCATCCTCGTGGCCCTCTTCAGGACTTGTTCCAACAGTTCCATGTCCTTTTCATGTTGAGGACACCAGAACTGCACACAGTACTCCAAGTGAGATCTCACGAGAGCAAAGTAGAGGGGCAGGATATTAAACTACTTCCTTATCTGGATTCCTCCCCCCCAAAAAAACCCATGTAGATCAGCAAAACCATGTCAGTCAATCAATGCAGTAGTAGCTTAACATTCTTCAAATATTCTAGAAAGAGTCCATTGGAGTGTAATCCATCCACTGACCTGTGATGGTCACAGGAAATAATCCACTCTGCAGCCAATTTAAAGAGGTTAATGAGCTGGTAAATGCTGTCTACTTTCCCACATACTGAGCAATGAAACTTAATATGTACAAAGCATCAAAAACAATCAAGCCAGGCACTCCTCATTATACTACAAATCATGAAAAATAAGACAACACAAACATCAGAATCTAGAGTTTCACTAAAACACAAAGAAATATGTGATTAACTGGTGTCAGCATCCAGTAGCTGAGAAGCTGGCCAATACATCCCTCTAAATAAGCTATATATATGCAGGCAAAAGGAGTATTTAAATAAGGAAGACTGAAATATAAGCTAAGGAAAGTCAGGAAATTAAAAGTGTCTAGTACTCTGTCCTTGGCTCACACAGGTATGTTTTACTTTGTACCTTAACATTTTCCAGCCCTTGTTCTTGTATCTAATTTCCACATAAAACTGGTTTCTCAGTAGACCATAAAGCTATCTTCTCCAATTCAACAACTGTTGATGTAGTAAGTCCAATCAAATCCATAGCAGCCTTTATGATTAGCGAAAGAGTACACAAAAGCTACCTCTACATGGAAATAAACCCTCCTGATTGCAATCTGTTAAAGTGACTTTATACAATTAAGAATTGATGGCTGCAAATAAGACTGCATTTGTTAGTAGTTTTTATTGGTGCAAGCGGTGAACTGAAAGAACAAGTAAAATTCTTCACCCCTTAGGCATTAAAAGGCTAAAAGATTTTTGAAAATGAAAGTGTCCAAGTCTACACCCTACAATGACGAACGATTCTACAGCCATGGTTCCAATATTCACTAATGGCTTTCTGTGTAATATTCTGCATATTTGAGGTTTGAAAGAAACACCTTCAACAGAAGTGTGATACCAGTAATCCATCACCCTACGACCAGCAAGCATTGCCATAACTGCCACAGCAAATGTAAGTCAAGAATCACAGAAGACATGTTACTTCATCATGCAAATTCTTTATATTGACTGTATGACCTGAAATAGACATGAAAAATATTGAATTCATCAATTTAACTTTTTCATTGGGAAACACTTGCCTTCATATTTTGCATGTATACATTATTATTTTTCTCTTGTAGGTAATAGGAAGAGATTGGCACTTTCTTTCAACCAAATCACATACGCTGTAAGACTCCGAAGACCAAATGATACCAGAAGAACTAAGACTGTAGTAGTACACATAACTTATATTTCATATATATTATCATTAAGGATCCCCAGGCATCATGGCATACCTGAGTATAACCATGATTATACATTTGCCCTCACTTTGGTATAAAGTTCAATCTAGGGTACCTAATTCTCAGGATGATTTTTAGGTTCTACTATTTGCTAATAAGAAGAAACCTCCAAAATTATTTTCCGTGCAGGGTAAATGACCAACTTACTGTTTGTTAGTGTAAAATTCTAGGCAATAAAATTGGAGGCCCATCCAGCATCCGAGATATCACACTGCAAATAAACTGGCAGGCTGCAGAAAGGGCACTGATCCTATGACACAATATGCAGATGGAGAATGTGGTTAATAGTGAAGTTGACCAGATGACCCAATGACTCTTCTTCAATTTTAACGCAGATAATGGAGCAAACTCAATTTTGCCAAGCTATTAGCCTAACAGTGTTTTTCTTTCCTAGATGTAAGAGCTGAGCAAAGGGTTCTTTTTGAATGCAAACTCCAGTTCACCTTGTGATTCTTAACACAAGGAAAGTAGAGGTCAGTAGGCCTAACAACAAAGACATTCAGAACCAATTCTATTCTTGTGCTAGGTAATGCAGAAGAGCAGAAACCTCTCAGCAAATGATTGCTAATGATAGAGGCCCACTATGACACAGTATTATTCTACACTGGTTAGACGTTTTCATAGCTGTTTCTCCATTAGGCCGCTCTGTTTTGCTTCCATTAAATCTGCCAGTTCCTTTTAGCAAGCCAGGTAAAGTGCCTTGTGATCATCAGGGAAAAAAAATCTTTTAACATTTCACAAGACTCACAAAAGCAAGAACAAGTAGTATTAAAATAGTCTCTTCAACCTGCAGTTATAATGTTTTGTATGATATTTTGCACGTCTCCAAACTGCAAGAATACTGACTCCTATTCAGGACCACAATCTGCTATAAAAGCAGCTTTAAGCAATCACTGCAATCAGCTGAACCCCATCCTAATATCAACATCTGCTGCACTGCATCAAGGAACATGTCAACCCACCATGCTAAGAATTACTTTTTTCTCCATAAAAATGCCAAGTAAGCTACATCAACAGAGGCTAAAAATTCAGTTTTACTGTTCAAATAATCAGAGAACTCTAGGG